AATTAACGAAATATTTAAAGAATAAATTTTAAAAAATAATATTTTTTTATATTTAACGAACTAAGATAATGAATTAAAAAAATTGTAAAAGGAAAAATCGAATAAATTTATTAAAATAAATAATCGAAATAGAGTAATTAAATATGAAATAAATAAAACACATGATTAACGAAATATTAAAAGAATAAATTAAATTGAATAATATTTTTTTACCTAACCAATTAAGATAATTAATTAAAGAAATTGTGAAACGAAAAATCGAATAAATATTGTTATTTTTATTCAAATAAATAATCGAAATAAATAATATACATAATTAACGAAATATTTGAAGAATAAGTTAAAAAAACAATAATTTTTTTACTTAACGAACTAAGATAATGAATTAAAGAAATAGTAAAAGGAAAAATCGAATAAATATTATTATTTTTATTCAAATAAATAATCGAAATAAATAATATACATAATTAACAAAATATTTTTGACGAATAAATTAAAAAAACAATATTATTTTTACTTAACCAATTAAAATAATTACTTAAAGAAATAGTAAAAGGAAAAATCGAATAAATATTATTCAAATAAACAATCGAAATAGAGTAATTAAATATGAAATAAATAAAACACATGATTAACGAAATATTAAAATAATAAATTAAATTGAATAATATTTTTTACCTAACCAATTAAGATAATTGATTAAAGAAATAGTGAAATGAAAAATCAAATTAAATATTATTATTTTTATTCAAATAAATAATCGAAATAGAATAATAAAATAAAAAATGAATAATATATATAATTAACGAAATATTTAAAAAATAAATTAAATTGAATAATAATTTTTTTACTTAACCAATTAAGATAATTAATTAAAAAAATAGTTAAATGACAAATCGATTTAAATATTATTATTTTTATTCAAATAAATAATTGAAATAGAATCATTAAATATGAAATGAATAATATGCATAATTAACGAAATATTTAAAAAATAAATTAAATTGAATAATATTTTTTT